ATGGTGCTAAGGAGCATCATTAGGCAGGTTTTCCAGGAGGCCTTCAGGCTTCATGCTCTGTGGGCCTGCCATGACCTGTCTTCCAGGAGTTCACATTCCAAGTAGAGAATTCAGACTGAATCTCAGAGTGCTGGATAGTAAGCCCCAGAGAGGGGAATGTGGTTTGCTACAAATGAAGCCCTCCCAGATCTTGGCTTCTCTGGGCCAAATCAGAGTTTGTTTTTGAGGGCGTCCCAGGAGCTGCCCTTCTGAGGACCCTTAAATGCCTGGGGGCAGCAGGCAGTGAAGGCCCCCTGTGTGCCTGCCTCCTCTCTGCCTGGGCCTGAGCTCTGAGAACTGGGCCCTCCCCATGCCAGAGTAGGCAAGGTGAGGATGGGTGAAATCTGAAATGGGGCATCTTGGAGGTCTGGGCACCTGGCTGTCTGTCATCTCGTCTTTGTTCCTCCTGTGTGGGGTGGGCAGAGGCCCCAGGGCAGCACAGATCCATGGTGCTTGCAAAGTAAATGCCTCCGTTTGCTAAGCAGGAGACTTCTGGTCAGTCATGGGATCCGTACAGCCTTCAGATCCTGCTTCCCTAGCCATCTGGAACCTCCTCTCCCGTGCCCCGGCTGGGTCACTCCCTCCCCTGCCATCCGCTGATGTGTGACTGGCCACACACAATCGCGAAGGAAACTGTTCAGGCAAAGGAACAATGCTGTCTCCCCAGAGCCGTCCTTTCTTTTCCTGCCCTGTGCTTGTCTCGGCCCCAGCTCCCAAGCCTGGAACACATGTGGCAGAGTTGATCAGAACACAGCCTGTTTCGGGGAATGGGACTTTGATCGCTCCCCGCCTCACCCCCGGAAGTTACTGTTCTTGATGGGACTGCAACAGTCATTCGTAGGTGCATGGACCGCCAGGACAAAGCATTTCCAGCTGGCAGTGGCATCTGGGAGCTAGAAGGGTGGAGCGGTGAGGTTGTACTCCCTGGATGCAGTCTGCGGGGTCTGGAGCAGGCCTGAGAAGCCGAAGCCCCCCTCTCCTCCCCCAGAATATGTGTGACCAGCAGAGGCCACCTCTGTCCCTGGGGTGCGGGAGGGGACTCTTGGCCTTTAACACCACTCTGTACATTGAAAATGCTGGGTAGAGCTGATCTGAGGCCGTGAGGCGCATGCCCTGAATCATCCTCCCATCCCAGCCTGCTGTTCCCTTGTGCGCCCTGACATTTCTCCCAGGCACATACCAGCACATGACAATGAATCTGAGCCCCTCAGGCCCCTGCCCCCCTAGCTGCCTGCGGCTGTCCCTGCTCATCTGTCAGTCACCCGATCCCCCACACCTGCTCCTCCAGCACAGCCTGTGAGCTGCCCACCCCACCGCAGCTATGAATAGGATGGAGGGAGGGGATCAAGGGGCATTCAGAGGGTAGGGTGGTGAGCGGCACCCTCTGGGTGATGTGGAGGGCAGCTCTTTTCAGGCTGAGAAAGCAGAGAGGCAGGCTTGTTTGGAGGAGTCTTTAGAGTGGGGAGATAGGTGGGCAGGAAGTGCCTGAACAATAGTTACAGGAGAAAGGGTGGGGTTGTAATTAGGTGTCTGGGGCACTAAGGACAAAGTGAAGGCACTGGGGTGCATTGTCTATGTCACCAGCACTCCTGGGTCTGTGAATGGAAGCCTGGGGCTGTTCTGGGGCCAGCTTCGGACTGTCAGCCCAACCAGCAGCTCCAACGAAGTCCACTTGGCTCTCCCACCGGTTATAAATTTTGTGAGAGCAGTGTTTCCATTTCTTGGGGTGAGTGGGGAAATTATGACATGATCAAGGGTGTATTTGAGCTCCTGGTGGAGGTGGGGTTCCAGAGGATTCTCCAGGAGGCAAGAGGTGGTAAGTCCCTCCTTGCCACCAGGGGACCACTCCTCATCAGCACCACCAAGAGGTGAAAGGTTGAACAGCAGCCGTCATTGAAGGTCCCTGGCCCCCCTGTAACAGCAGTTCTAAAGAGCTTACTACTTCTTGCCTCCAGGGCGCTTACCATCTGTAAGGGGCCAAGGCCATCTGCCAGCTCAGGGCAGTGGAAGGCAGGTCCAGATCCCTGTAGGGTGCTGGGGCAGCAGCAGCTGCTCCCTTTGTGTGCTGGGAAGAGGGCTGGGTTTGGCTGGTCCTGCCTGAGCCCGAGGAGCAGCATTATTTTGGGTGGTACATGAATGAACATTTCTTCTTGAGTATTTTTGTAATTATTTTCATATGTATTAGAAAAAATAAAGTCTCTGATTGTGTGGATATAGTGCTTAGGATGCAGTTGAGGAATAAAAGTGAGTCGGTTTAAAAAAAAACCACTAAGGGAAGGGCCTAGCAAGACGTGAGGTTGGTGGGTCATGGGTCCAGGAGGAATCAGCAGGGGCCTGGCAGAGACTGAAGTCTAGAGATCACTTGAGACCCTTGCCTGGCCCCTAGGCTGCACCCTTCCACCACCCTGGCCCCCCATGTTCAGCCGCTGGGCTTCCTGTTAGCTTTTTCACAGACATGCTCTATGTTTCTGCCCTGTGCCTCTATCTGCTACATGTCCCTTTTTTTTTTTTTTGCACAGAAGGACTGGGGTATAGGCCAGAGGTGTGGGGTTGAGAGGATTTACCAGAGACAGAGTGGGGAGCAGAACAGGTGGATCTCCTGAAATACATGGTTGAGGGGAACAGCAGGTGAGAAAGGAGAGGTCTGCTGCACCATGTGGGTCATCTCCCTGGCCGGAGGTCGAACTCAGGCCATGGTGGCAATAGCGTGAGACATAAGCCCTAGGCCACCGGAGAGGCCCCTTGCAGCATGTCTTGAAGGCACAAGCTGACCTCTATCCCCTTTTCTGACCAAGCCTCCTAGAAGGAGAATATGACTCAATAGAGGAACTAGGACAGAGAGCTGGGTTTTGGATCCCCCACCTGCTGTGTAGCTGTGAGACCTTGAGCAAGGCCTGGTCCACCTCTGCTGGGGATCCTGCCTGCGTTGCTCCACCCCCACCACAGAATGGGGAGACTGAGGCCAGCCCCATGATGGGGAAGTGGGAGTGGAGGGTGTTCACAGCACTGAGGTTGAGTGCTGGCTTGAATGTGTTAGAATCCCAGTGTTCCCTTTCTTCCAAATGGCCTCATTAAAGCCATTGCAAAGCCTTTCCTTTTTCTCGTCAAAAAACCAACACATCCTTGTTCTGTTCCATAATCTGCTTTTTTTGGTTGTAGTCAATTCACAGTAGTAAATACAGGTTTCTCAGCATTCTGTGGCTCCAGAATACTTCTCCTGTGCCAGAGGAGGTTACCACCCTCTGCCAATCTAGGGCACATTCTTCCTCTTGGAAAGCTTCTTCCCCTGAAGGAGAGAAGAGTAATGATGGAACATCCCCTGAATGGTGCCAGAACCTTCCTGAGGTTCTGAGGATCCCCCTGGCTTTATGCAGAAGAGTCCTTCAGGTCAGAATCTTTCTCTAGCTCTCCCCCTGCCCCCGGCATGGACAGGACTGCTCTCTGGGTTCAGCTGGTCAGTGATTTTGAACAATGTGAGTAGGAGGGAGCAGAAGCGACACCCTGAGAATAAGCCTTTTGTAATATGTCTGTGCATTTCTTCTGAGTCTTAAGTTGCTCTGTTAGCACCCCTGGTTCAGATGGGGTGATTCTGGGGGTGGAGACTCCTAAGTGGCTCATGGCTTCACAAATACACATTTATGTCAGAGTCTCCAAGGCACTGCATTGCCTCATCCAGTGACTCCTTCCCTTTCCTGGGGCTCTCTCTGCCTCTGCTGGGTTGGGGTGAGCCTTGGGCCTGTCACTTACCGACTGTGTGATCTTGGGCCAGGCCTATGGTCAGGGACCTTGTTGATCAAACTGAGCCTGACATCCTGCCTCATCCCCTCATAGGGAACATGTGTGAATCGTGACTTGACCTTTTCCAAGGGAAAATTGCACATGGACCCAACATGCAGCAGCAGGTGTACAGGCCTCACTTTCAGCAGGGGAAGTGTGTGTGGGGAATGGCAGATAGCTGAGACTTGTGTTCCCTTATGCATGGGCTCAGCAAGAGGGTTTTAACCACTGAGTGATGCAGTCAGACTTGTTTTCTGAAAAGGACACTAGTCTTGGGGGATTGGCTTGGAGGCTGAAACAGGGTTCAGGGTGGCTGGCCTCAGTTCTGGCCAGAGATATCTCATCCCCGGAGCCATTTTTGAAAGAGCATTGACCAAGTCCAGTGAGCAGCTGGACCAAAGGATGTGACATAGACAAGGACCCAGCCTCCCCTGCTGCTCTCCTCTCTGCTCATCACTCATCTGACTTTTTTTTTTTTTTTAATTTTTATTTATTTATATAAGCACTGGGTACAGTCAGAAGCGCGGGAGGGTGAGAGAATTCACCAGAGCCAGAGCGGGGAACAGAACAGGTAGACTGACAAAATACATGGCTGAGGGGAGCAGTGGGCGCGGCAGAAGAGGACTATGTGCCATGTGGGACCCTCGCTGGCGACCGGGGATTGAACTGGCACTGCAGAGGCTGCAGGCAGTTTCGCAGCCCAGTGCTTAACCAGTGTGCCACCAGGGGAGGCCCTCTCATCTGACTTTCTGTCTCCTGCTTTCTTCACACTGAAAATGGACTCTGGAAAGGATCTGATAAATTCATTCACATTAAAGTAGAAATGACAGCTATAGATTCACAGGTTTACAGTTTAATAAGAACCAAGTCTTAAACTATAAAACTTGGAGCTCTAAAGACAAAATTTAGGGCCCCTCCTGCTGGGTGGGCTGGTACCTAAGTAGGCAGCAGTGCAAGTCCAGGGTTTCCTTTTTCCATTGTTAAGACCACACAGCCTGATTTTATACCAGCCCTGGGAATAGAGAAAGGCAGAAATTTTCCAAGATCCTGCTGCCCAGGCTCTTTTTGAGCCTTGGTGATTGTTTCCTGGCCCGAGAACCTGGACCGTGGCCCTGACTCTGTTCCTGGATTGGGCCCCGCTGACTTACCTGTTCGCTTCTTGGCTTCCCCATGTCTCCTTCCAGGCAGACCTCAACACCAACATCGAGGATGAAGGCAGCTCCTTCTACGGGGTCTCCAGCCAGTACGAGAGTCCAGAAAACATGATCATCACCTGCTCCACCAAAGTTTGCTCTTTTGGCAAGCAGGTGGTAGAGAAAGTAGAGGTAGGGTATGCTTGTCAGACCAGGCCTGTCTGTAGCTCCGGGCCGGTCTTCATCCCTATCCTTGCCTTCCCTGGAGTTGTCTGAATTCATGCAGTCTTGTCTTCACGATATCTTGGTTTCTTTCTTTCTTTCTTTTTTTTTTTAAAGATTTATTTTTATTTATTTATACAAGCACTGCATACAGTCAGAAGCGCAGGAGGGTGAGAGGACTCACCAGAGACAGAGCGGGTTGCAGAACAGGCACTGATGAAATACACTGCTGAGGGGAGCAGCGGGCAAGACAGGAGAGGTCTGCCACGCCATGTGGGACCCTCGCCGGCTGGCCAGGATTGAACCGGCGCTGCAGAGGCTGCGGACAGCTTCACAGCGCAGCGCTCAACCGCCTGCGCCACCAGGGGAGGCCCAATATCTTGGTTTCTTGTCAAACAAAACTGGATGCCGTGCCACCAGCAAAGAGACGTCCTGGTCCCAGTGGGGGGGTCTTACTGCTGGCTGTATCTACGGCACCTGGGCAGCTCTAATGCACGGAGCCTGCACCCCACTCCACAGCACATACCCCAGAACCTCTCAGGTGGCATCTGGGCAATAGGGGTTTTTAAAAACCCTTAAAGTTGTTTATTTTTAATTACATTTTTATTTTGAGATCATTGTGGGTCCACGTGGAGTTGTAATCTCACGCACCCTTTACCAGTTTTCCCAGCGGCAATGACTCGCATGACTAGAGTATATTGTTGACAGCTGGGGAGTTGGTGTGGCTGCAACCCATCGATCTGATGGAAATTTCACCGGTCTATACGGACCCACTTGCATGTGTGTTAGTGCAGCCAGGATTGAGTCCCTGTTCTGCCTCCTCTTGCCTGTTGCTGCTACTCATACATATATTTTTTATTTTATGTTATTTTTTAAAAGATTTTATTAATGCTTATATTTTATATCAGAGCTGGGGTACAGGTTAGAGATGTGGAGGGGGCGGTGAGAGGATTCACCAGAGACAGAGTGGGGAACAGAACAGGCAGATTGACCGAAGTACACTGCTGAGGGGAGCAGCGGGCAAGTCAGGAGAGGTCTGCCTCGCCATGTGGGTTGCTCCCTGGCCAGCCGGGGTTCAAACTCATGCTGCCGAGGCTGCAGATTGCTTCACAGTGTGATGCTTAATCCCTTGTGCCACCAGGGAGGCCCTGGTACTCTTTTTTTTTTTTTTTTGTGGGACCCTCTCTGGCGGCCGGGGAACAAACCGGCGCTGCAGAGGCTGCGGGCAGCCTCGCAGCCCAGCGCTCAACCGCTGCGCCACCAGGGGAGGCCCATGGTACTCATATTTTTAAGCTTCCACCTCTAATATCTGGCTCTGGTTGGCACTGAGGGAGGAGGAGGCCTTGTAATATGTCCACCAACCTGGGGGAGGCTCTGCGTGAAGGGCCTTTCTGCCTCCTGCCTTTTCTTCCCACTTAAGAGTGAGTGGGTCATGGATCTTCCCTAAGGAGCTGGTCCTGGGCTGGCGGTGTGCAAGGGGATCTAAATCCCTGCTGTCCTCTGGGTCCTGCAGACGGAATATGCCCGCTATGAGAATGGCCACTACTCGTACCGTATCCACCGGTCCCCACTCTGTGAGTATATGATCAACTTCATCCACAAGCTGAAGCATCTGCCGGAGAAGTACATGATGAACAGTGTGCTGGAGAACTTCACCATCTTGCAGGTAGGGGAGCAGGGGACACTGCAGATGGGGACCGGAAGGGCGTAGGAGGGTGGAGTAACTGGCATGTCTCTGCAGGGATCTTAACCCTCATCTTTCCTCTCGCCTGCAGGTGGTCACCAACAGAGACACGCAGGAGACGTTGCTGTGCATTGCATATGTCTTTGAGGTGTCGGCCAGCGAGCATGGGGCTCAGCACCACATCTACCGGCTGGTGAAAGAATAAGAGACTTGGGGAGCAGGGAGGGGGAAGAGATGTGTGTGCAGGGCCACGGGGAGGGGACCTGCAGGGACTGCCTCCTGCAATGCTAAGAGAGCTCAGGCTACGAGGTCATGACTATTCCTACTCAGGAAAAAACTGTGCCTGAACCTGCAATGCCCAGTCCCAAATAAACCCAAGATGTTGTGTATCCCAGAGGGCCTGATCTGGCTGTTTGAGCCTTGGGAGGGACTGTGGGAGAAGGGGGGCAGTTTGGGAAGCCGGCCCAGAGATACATCTTGGGCAGTTCTGAAACCAGTGCCTTATTGGACTCAGCCGGAACCATCTCCAGAAGCTGAAGCTCAAGATGGGACGGTCCCTCTGTCGCCACTGGAGCCCCGCATCCTGCTGCTGGCCACCCAGGGAGACCCGAGGATAGGCGCGTGGGTTCTCTGTTCTGTGAATGATGCATGTGCACCCCCTGCCTGGGACAGCTGACAGAGACCAGGTCCAGCCCAGGGGTTGGTGTTAAGGCATGGGGGTGACAGTTGCTGGAAGGGCTGGAGTGGGCATGGTCAGTGCTTTAGATGGTTTCCATCCATCTCTGGTGGGCGCAGATGCCATAGCAGTGCTGCTTGGGGCTTGGACCAGGAGGCCAGAAGACAGTTCAGGCAGGGAGGCCGGTGTCACGCAGCATCCTTGGTGTTGAAGCCAAGAAAGTTGGTCAAAGGTCTGTGGTGGTCTGGGGGTCTCTGACCTCCAGTTCTGACGCTCTGCATGTCTTACCTCCCTCCCCGCCAAGAGGCCTGTTGTGTAGTGACCATCTTGGACCCAGCCTGGGCCATCCACTTCTTCCCCATGGTCATTTCTTGCTCCCTGGGGATGGAGGAGGAGCATGGCGCCCACTGCGGCCTACAGGGAGCCAACTCTTTTATTTCGCCTAAGAACCTTTCTGGGCTTTGGGTTTCAGCAGCCCTGGCTTTAGTCCTAGTAGTCCAGCTGCCTGACTGGGGAAATTTCTCCATCTTTCCTCTCTGTAAAGCGGGAAGGCAATGATGCCTCCTTTAGAAGGTCTTAGTGAGGATGAGGGGTAATGTCTACAAAGTGCCTGCTGCAAGATGCACTAAATGTTACAATCAGCTCTTCCTAAGCTCCCCCTCCTCCAGGTTCTGGCTCTTTGCTGCCATCTGGTGGTTCTTTGGCACCACCTCCCCTAATAGGGAGCCACAATTGCAGGAGTGGAGCAGAGCGGAATGGAAAAATCAACCCTTGTGTTCCCTAAGTGCCCAGCTCTCGGGGAGTTGTTTGGGGATACAAAAATGAGTGCGACAGCCTGGAGAAGTAGTTAGGAGCAGGGACTCTAGAGTCAGACAACTGGGGTTGGAATCAGGTGCTCAGCTACCTACTAAACTTGGGTCAGGTTACTTCATTTCACTGGGCCTCAGTTTCCCCATCTGTAAAATGGGTCTAATAATAGTACCTACCTCATATATATATATATATATAGAGAGAGAGAGAGAGAGAGAGTTCCTAGCATAGTGCTAAGCACAACATGTTCAAAATAGATACATTTTTATTAACAACAGGAGCTTATCCTGCAAGAGTCAGATGGGACAGTCTAAAGTAAGGTGGGTTGGTCCTCATCAGAATACCCGGAGTTCAGAGATGGGAGAGCAGAATGTGAAAGCGAATGTCAAGGTTGAGAGGAGCTGCCTTCTAAGCGTGGATGACACTTAGGTAAGCTCACTAGTGTTCCAGAGTGGGAAAGAAGCCAGCAGCTACCCCATTTCCCTCTGTCTTCTAGGGCGGCGTCTCTCCAAACACCCCTGGTTCTGGAGTTGCACAACTCCTCAGTGTGATGTCATGGGGTGGGGGACACTCACAGGTCCTTGTGTAGGTTTGGGTTTGTGGGAGACTCTTCTGCCCCGGTGACATCACAGCTCTTGCCCTCCTCCTTCTCACCTCTAACTCTGGGGCTTGTGGATAAGGGGAGTCCTGGATGCCCACCCATCTGGCTTGACTGCACCTTCTGTCCAGGGCCACTGGCAGGTGAGCTGCCTTACAGTCTGGGACAAAGGCATGAGTGAAGTGGATGGTCGTTTGTCATGGCTGGGAAGGAGTAGGTGCAGAGGTGGCTGGCACTAATTTTCCCTTCCCTCAGGAGTTTCCCGCAGTGGACCCTAGGAGACCTGCTACTCGTGGCTGTCAGTGCCAGCCCTGTCAGCATGGGGAGCGCAGATATAGCCGCTTCTCCCCTGGAGTAGTCAGACCACTTGGGACAATTGGGAGACCTGCCGGTCGCCCCTCTTGCAGCCTCCTCAGACACTGCCTTGGGCTAAAATCCCTGTCTCCTGCACATCCTCCTGCCCTTTCTGCCTCGATGCCCATGTCCCCTGGCCAGTCCCCATGTTTGGGCCAGTGTGGAGTCACCTCTCATGAAGAAGTGTTCCATTGACCAATGAGGCCCCACTACCCTGCTGGCTACAGGTGCCTTTGAATTCTAACCTCAGCCCACAGGTACGGGCACGAGCCCCATTTTAGGGCGGGCTTGGGGAGGTTACCTGCCTTTCTTGGAGTGTTAATGCGTTTGTTCGATAGCCTGGCTTGCTTTGCCCCAGGCGTGGGGGTGTTTTCGGAGCAGAACAGATGAGGCCTCTGAGGCTTGGGCTTCACTCAGGAAGAAAGGAAATGAGAGGTAGACAAGACCTGCAGCGGGATCCCGCTGCCAGGGCAGTGAGTGGGGGCTGAGGCCGAGGGGCACAGGGCACCCTCGGATGCCTGGGGGTGTGGGTGAGGGAGAGCTTTCTGACTAGGTGCCGGAAGGGGACTGAGAGGAATATGTCAAGAGAGAGGAATATGTGTCAGTGACAGAAAGGAATATGTCAAGAATGGGTGGGGGTGTGGGGGACAGGAGACTGGAGCAAAGATTGGAGGAAGAGGGCCTAGGTCCTGTCCAGGCTGACCATCCAGTTGAGGAGGAATGGACATCCACCCCCTGCTTTGTGAACCAGCACCTCGCTTGGTAAGGACTTTGGGTTTTACTCTGTGGAGAGTGGTCCTGAGAGTATTTTAAGCAGGGGAGTGAGTCTTAGATCTGGTTTTCAGAAAATAACACTGGAATGTTGTGGATTATAGGGAAACACATGTAATTGTCTTTCTGAGTCTCTTTCCTCCTAGACTCAGCTTTTGTGGGTGGAGATGATGGATTTCCCGGCCTGTTCTTTTCTGTAAATCAAACACCATGTCCTCTCCGTGCTCAGTAAAGGATTCGTGAGTGGATGCTAGTGGACATGAACGTGTGACCCATGCTGGCTGGGCCTGGGAGGGGTGTAAGAGTCCCCACACCCTCTAAGATCCAGCTCCTGCCTCCTGACCTTCTAGAGCTAGCAGGCAGCATCCTGAGATGGGGACCTGGAAACAGACTGCCTGTCATGGGTCTGATGGTGACCACACTGCCCCAGTGGCCACCAGTGCCTGCTTGGTGTGGGGTGATCTTCCAGATGAGAGGGAAAGCTACAGAGTAGTGCATGTGCATAGGCAGGGCTCTGCCTGTCAAGACTGAAGCCAGTGGAAGGCGGAGCAAGGGGCTATGCCCCAGGTATCCCCATACATCTGTCTATGGGGTCAGGGGACAGTGGGCAGGGTGGTGAGGGGCTGGAAGTGGGAAGCAGCATCCTTGTAAGCAAGGGTGGTGGCAGCAGCGAGCTCCTGAATCATCAGACTGTAGACCCATCTGCACAGGTGGAAAGTCAGCTGAAGCGTTTGTGTTAGAGTTCACAGCCAGGCACTTCTACCCACGTCACTATTAGACCCCTTCCCATGTTACCTGTTATGCTGACTCCAAGAATGCGAATGTGGTGCTTTTCCCTGAAGAGTTAAATCTCAATAAATCGTTGCTAAGAACTTAAACCCTGCAGCCAGGCTGATCTAAGTCTGAATTGGCATCTTACAAGTTGGGTGATAAGCCTTAGCCACTTGGAACCTTAAGGTGACCTCATTTGTGAAATGGGAATATGGTGGGTTGACTTCAGGATGCTTCTCGCAGGGGGGAGACAATGCAGGAGGGTGAAGGTAGCAGGAGGTTACGGCACCTCACTCATGAGCTCAGGCATGTAAAAACTTACCTACTCTGCTCTTTACACATGCACTTATACACCTGTGTGTGTTCATGCACACATACACACACACTTGAGAAAGGAAAAAAAGCTAATTTTAATGTATTTAAAGCAAGCGGGGAGGGGACCTCAAGTCTTGGCTAAGCAAAATCTGTCCACCCAGAGACAGGTGCACTTTACCCTCATCCTGGAATCAGAAACAGGAAGGAGGTGCTCTAAATTGGGGCGATAACTAGTCCATCAGGGTGAAAAAGAGGCCGGGGAAGTGTCTGGAAAGGGAGAACAGGCGATGGGCTCAGCCATACTGAGGAAGAAACTGTCCAGAATTCAGTTTTTGTTTTACTTCCTGAGAGTGGGCTGGGAGAGGTGGTTGATCAAGTGCCTTCATGGAGGGTGCGAGCCCCGGGGGTGCAGAGGGCTAAGGAGGTTTAAGCTCATGGATGTCTAAGAATTCAACTTGAAGTTTTTTGTATTTTTTGCTATGTAAACTCCTTGTGTCTCCAGATCTTCAGTAAAGTCTGCTACATATACAAGGCTTTTGTGTGAGTGATTTCTCTTTACAGAAACGAGGATGTTGTACCTCTGTGGACAGTGTGGGGACAGCAGTGGCAGCGGATTAGGCCCGAGGAGGCAGCTGTCACTGAGCCAGACCCCTGGAGGTGGGAACTCAGAGCCCATCCAGCCTGCCCATGTCCTTTTCGAGACAATGAGAAGCACATGGGGTGCTGCCAAGCATTGGGTCACTTTATGAGGATAGAATGGGGGCCCTGGTTCCTCTCTGCATCTGGGCTACGCGGCCCCTCACCTCCTAAATGAAGTCTGCCCTGGCTCCGTGTTCTGTGTGCACTGAAGCTTCCGACGCAAAGCAATAAGATTTAACATGAACCACAAAGAGACACAAAAATCACTGGGGCCACTGGGATGTGACCCCTGGCATGGCCCCTTGGGAACTTGATTTTAGCCCTTGGGCCGGGAGTAGCTGGCCCAGGGACTGGCTTGCCAAGCCAAATCAGAACAGTGTGTGCTTGATAAGCCCGGGAGCCACTGGATGAATTCACATTGAGGGGAGCCACCCCCAGGGCGGGGTACTTGTGTCTGCCAGTAGATGAAACCAGATTTGGTGGCTTTGAGCCTGTGTTCACACAAAACATACATGTAGGCAGGGAGTTAGGCGAACTTAAAGGACTGTGCCAACTATATTGAGAGCCTGACACCCCTGTCTCCACCTAGAGACCTGAGTTCTCCCATCTGAGGATAAGGTGACTTAGGAGCTAGCTGCATAGAGGTCTGGGGAAGGAACCCCTATTCCAGGGTGCTGAGGTGGAAGGAACTCAGCGTGTTCATGTGGCAGAAGGGACCAGAGCAGGTGAGGCAATGCCCTGTCCTTATTTCATGAAGGCCGTGTCTTCTAGTTCAGCACAGGATAGCAATGGCTTCAGCGGGGTGACTGCCTTCCAGCCTGATCTGTTCTCTGTGGGAGATTTTCTTTTCTTTTTTTTTTTTTTTAAGATTTATTTATTTATGTACACAAGAGCTGGGTTACAGGCCAGAGATACAGCGGGGTGGTGGTGATGAGAGGCATCACCAGAGACAGAGTGGGGAACAGAACAGGCAGACTGACTGAAATACACTGCTGAGGGGAGCAGCGGGCGAGACAGAAGAGGTCTTCTGCACCATGTGGGTTGCTCCCTGGCCGGCTGGCCGGGGATTGAACTCTCATGCTGCAGAGGCTGCGAATTGCTTCATAGTGCCATGCTTAACCCCTTGCGCCACCAGGGAGGCCCTGTGGGAGCTTGTCTTTCGGTTTGTTTTGGGTTTCGTCCTCATGTCTGAGCCTGTCCTTAGAAGGCCAGTGAGCCTTGAGGTCAGGGCCGCCGAGAGCCCCCGGGGTGGTGCTGGCCATGCGGGCTGGTGGTGGAGGCACTCTGACCCTCTGGCCAGGCTCCTCTTATAAGGAAGTAGATTTTTTTATGAGTTTCTTCCTAAATTGATCAGAGTCCATGGAAGGGACTCCTCCAGTCCTAGCTGGGAACTATGTGGCCAGAATTCTGGGAACCAAGTAGGAGAAAAGTACTGGGTCGTCTCCGCATTCAGTATGGACACTGACCAGCCCCCTGTGGTCTGCACAGGACTCTTGTGTTCACCTGGACAGAAGCCCCCCAAGGAACTCTCTCCCAGGGAAAGAGCTCCCAGCTTTTGCCCGAGCTAGAGAGGGGCCTTACTTTGCTGCATGCAGTTGAAGGGATTTTGGGAGGATTTGCCTTTTAAATGGGATTTGAGCAATCTTCCTGTCTTTAACTCCACCTTCATTCCTTTTGCAGAGACACCTACCAAAATCAAATCTTGACTTTTGGGGTGCTCAGTGGTATAAATCATGTTCCTTTTTGGCTTTTTCTGGGTTAGGATTCAACTTTTCCGAGTCTGCTAAGTCGGTTGGCACTCATCCTTCTGTTTTCTAGCTTCTGAACTTTTGTTATTATCTTCACTTCTGTCCTCTTTGTCCTCTACAGATTCCTTTTAAAAATCCCCTATGTTCATCTTAGAAACGTTTCAAGTGGGTATGAGGTAGCTGTGTGTTTAGTTCTCCACCTTTATCCTGAATTACTGATTTAAATATCAGTCTGGCTGTGAAGATCAGTAGTAGGTGGGCAGGAGTGGAAACAGCAGGGTTCCTGCAGAGATGACGGTGTTTTAGACTGTAGAGCCAGAGGTGAAAGGAAATGCATGACCTAGAGATATGTCTAGAAGACAGTCACCATGATTTTCTGATGTCTTGGGTGTAGGCAGTGTGGGAAAGTGACTAAATTGACTCCACAATTCCTGGCTTAAGTTACTGTTGCTATTTACTATGATAGGCAGGACTTGGGGTGGACATGAAGAGGTAAGGTTGGGATACTCGTTAGACAGCTAAGTAGCAGCTGCATATATGACTCTGAGATTAAGGGGAGAAGATTTAAGATTCACTGGCACTGAATTTAAATCCTTGGGACTAGATAAGATTACATAGGAGAAAAATATGGACAGAGAATAAGGTGAGGGTGTCCCCTGGACAGCCCTAAATCATTCCAGCATTCAAGGGAAGAGAGGAGGAAAATCAGGAGAGTGTGGTTTCCTTCTTGGCAGTAAAGACAAGAAGTGTCTGTGGGGGTTGTGGTGAGATGCTACTGGCAGGGAGATGAAGAAGAGGGCGGAGAAATGGTCGTTTGTGGTAGCGACTCCTGGTTTCCCTTCCTCCTGAGTTACAGACCCTTCATTTGTAACTGGGCATGTGGTCTCTGAGAATAAAAAGCCTATTTCCTCATCTCCCTTGCAGCTGGATGTAGCCATGTGACTAAGTATGGCCAGTGGAGGTCAGCAGAAATGTAATTTCTGGAAGTGTCCCAAAAGAGAAGGACTTGCTCTTCTTCTCCCCTTCATTTCAATGATTTGAATGTGGCGTGATGGTTGGATTTCCTGCAGCCATTTTGGACTGTGAGGTGACCTAGGGTAGAGCAACAAGATAAAGAATCTTTAATCTTTGATACCATGGTACACCATAACAGCTCTGGACAGATTTTATATGAGCGAAAAATACACTATCTTCTTTAAGACACTTATTTTAGAATGTTTTTCTTTGTTTAAAAGTAGCGGCCAAAGTTAATTGTGACTGGTTTATCATGGATCTGGCTGGAGGCATAGTGGCTGAAGCATGAATAGCTGTAACTGAATGAAGCTCAGAGAAATCTCTAGCTTGGGCCTCCCCGGTGGCGCAGTGGTTGAGCCCTGGGCTGCGAAGCTGCCCACAGCCTCTGCAGCGCCGGTTTGATCCCCGGCTGCTGGCGAGGGTCCCACTTGGTGCGTAGACCTCTCCTGCCACGCCTGCTGCTCCCCTCAGCAGTGTATTTAGTCAGTCTGCCTGTTCTGTTCCCCGCTCTGGCTCTGGTGAATTCTCTTACCCTCCCGAGCTTCTGACTGTACCCAGTGCTTGTGTTCATAAATACATAAATCTTTAAAAACAAAACAAAACAAAAAAACCTTTGTCCATATATGTTAAAAAAAAAGAAAGAAAGAAATCTCTAGCTCACATCACTGGTTACCATTGCAGATCTTACTTATCAATCTGGATCTTCTGGCTCCTCCCCCAGTGGAGAGTAGGTCATGAATGTGCAGGAGGTGCCCGCAGAATGGTTGGAGGCCGGCCCACAAAGTTCCCAGAGTACTGGCATGAAGGAGAAAGTGTTTTTTGGTGCGACAAAGTTTTCTCATCATATCGGGAAAATGCTTCTATTTCTGATGTGGAGGTGCGGGTACAGGAGACTGTGGGGAATAAAGGAAAGTAAAAATTAGACAACCATCAACCTCAGAGGGAAAATGTGTTTGCCAGCTGGTGTGCCTGCAATCCCATGTTGGAAGTAATGGGTAGTAATCCGATGTTCAGACTCAGAGCCGCCTCTCCCTGCCAACGTGGACCTGCTTTCTCAGTGTCAGAGGGACCTGCTATTCCTTGCAATCTCCCTTCCTCACAGGCCGAGCTAAGAACTTGAAGTTTGGCACAATTGTCTCATACTTTTTCTCATCAGTAACTACTTTGTTGACTTTCCAATTTCTTTCTCTAATTTCCCACCCACCTTTATGCAGGTCCTTCGTGGTGGTATATGCCAAATACAGTTTCAACCTTGTTGGGGATATAGAGATTTTAAGCTGATGAAGGGTTTGTGCCTTCCCAACAGCAAGTGAAGGTGAGGTTACCTTTGGGTAACCTGCTGCAGGTCACTTGAGAAAGAAGTGGGAGGGGGGATTCCAAGCAGCCTGTGACTTCTCAGGCTTCTTGCTATCTCCACAACCTTAACTCTAGAAAACTAAGAGCCCCTGGGGAATGGAATTCTGTCCATCCCACCCAGGGTCCCCTTTAATCTTGACTGACCCACCCAGCCCGCTCCTGGAGGCACATTAAAGCAAGCCTCACATGCCTGCTGCAAGGAAAGGCCTTGCCCCTCCCCAGTTACCCTCGGCCCACTTGCTCTTTCTCTTCATCTCACTGGATCTTGGATTCCTGGCTGTGGTCCCTGGCTTTGATATTTGCTTCTGCTCTCTCTGGTTTGGCAACTCATTGCATTCCCCTTGCAGGTTTCTTTCGTTAGTCTTCTGCACTGTTCTGCCTCTGATTTGTGTCCTCTCGTGGCCTCAGATGAGGAGTAATTTCCTTCTGGCCAGGACTTTGCAGACCCCTGCAGCTGGACTAGAGATGGAAGTGGGATTGAGATGGCATTATGAAAAGGGGCATAAGACGAACTAGCCCCTGCCCTTGGCCACAGTTATCCCTCCCTCCAGGGAGAGAGAGAGACAAAAAGGGCTAAGAAGGCACTCACCAGTGTCTCTATCAGTTGAAACTGGGCCCTGATGTTGAATTCTAGAAGGGTTAGAATGAATTCCTAGAGCCAAAACAGGGGCCTCATTCATCCCTAAACCAAGTATTGAGCACCCTGGCTGTGCCTAGTGGCACTGTTCTAATTCCTGGGGATGCAGTGGTGATAAAATCAAACTCTTGAGTCCTCGATGATCTTGCATGTCAGTGGAGGGAATCACACAAAAAATAAAATGTCCAGCCTCCTTTGAATCCCCCCACAGCCACATCCATCGTTCTGGATCTAATCTCTGTGATGGAGGGCAAGACCACTCTCACATGGAGATTAGGGAGTGTTTGACTCTAGTGCAAGGGAGCGCAATTGTCCCAACATCTCCTCAGACAGGGCAGCTCCCTCCCTCACTGTCCTGCCATTATATGAAAGCAAGAAAGCTTTTTCCATCTACAGAGAAAACACAAGAGACAGACACGGCTGGTCTGACTGAGGGAACACGTCTGGTCCTTTGTGACAGGGCCATTGTGATGAGCCAGATCCACAAGTGCACACATTGCAGAGCAAGCACTTTGGGGACTTCAGAGTGAGTTTCCTGGGCCAGGGGCAGGCTGTGCATCCTCATCAGGGGATGCAGACTCCCAGCCCTTGGGGATCAAAACCTGTAGGTGATTCCCAGGTAAGCTACAGTTTGAGAAGCAAAGGAGCTAGACATCTTGACCAGATACAAGAAACGCTCCTCCCCACTCACCCCGGGGCTGTGACCAATCCATAATGCCTCCTTGGGTGGAGGAGGTGGGATATAGCTGACTTCCTTCCCTAGGAGCGATATGCATTTGAGCAACATACCAACCACTGTAAAAATCAGTTACTATCTATAAATGAAGTAAAATAGACTATCAGTAAAAATAGAATAAAAGAAAATGAAATTCAAAAAGGCTGCTTCTTTTTAATTTTATTGGTAATATTTTCAATTGTCAAGATTGCGATAAATAAATATTGTGTACTTTTGTATTAGTTTATAAACTACTAAGTGATGATCAATTTTAATATCTGAGGGGAACTGATTCATGGAAAAGAATGCTTAAAGTTATCTGTATTTTAATTATTTTTTCAGTTGATTAAAATTGTAAAATTTAAAGGCTAATTTTATTAATTTAAGTTCAGCTTACAAATCCTGTTTTGTTTACAAAGCTAATGTTTTTATGCAAAATCTTTTATTTATTCTTTGATTAATGATCAGTTAGCCCATATATTCTCGAAACATTTGTTATCGCCTATATATAATTGATTAAACTTGTTTAGGCTATTAAAGCATTTTAAATATCTAACAAGTCAAACTTACAAATCTAATAAAATCTTAATACATTAAAAAAAATCAACACTAAGAATTTAAGCACTTCACAAAACACAGTAAGGCTAAATTTATAATTCTAATCCTATTTATTTAAGTATTTAACCATTACTCTTTATCCACCTGAGAAATTAACATCACAAATATTTCATTTACATTTATAGACTTCCACATTTTAAAAAACAGATAAAAAATGTTTACTTTAAAATGGTTAACAATTAATCTTATGTAAATTTTTTTAAAAAGCAATTGAAGGTCTCTCTGGTGGCACAGTGGGTTGAGCACAGCGCTGTGGGGCTGTCTGCAGCCTCCACAGTGCCGGTTAGATTCCCAGCCTGCCAGGGAGATTTCCCTGGCACGGCGGACCTCTCCTGTCTCACCCGCTGCTCCCCTCAGCAAGTGTATTTTGGTCCTTCTGCCTGTTCTGTTCCCTGCTCTGTCTCTGGTGGATTCTCTCACCCTCCCACGCCTCTGGCCTGTACCCCAGTGCATGTAGAAATAAATAAATCTTTAAAAAAAAAAAAAAAAAGCAATTGAAATTCTTTAGTTAAAAATTTTAAATTACCAAAAAATAAACTGCATAAAGCACAGTGTGTTCCAACACACCCTTAAGCCCATTACAGAAAACATTAATTTATGTTTCTGTCATTCTTTATTTTTATTTTCAAGCCTTTATCTAAATAGAGAGGGCAGAATAGAGAGGGCACAGGTAGGCTGAGATAACTATCGTTGAGTTTAGGACCCAATTGCGCTTACAGATTAGGGTTATAAGCTCCATGTTTGGGATTGCCATGCTGGTACAGCTAGAGGGTGTCACGCCAAGAGTGAGTGAGTCTGGGGCCAGGGTCTAAAATTATGTTACCTTCCTAGTAATTATCTGCGGGGATGGCTTGCCTGCCACAATAACGAAATTCATAAAGGCCTTGCTTTTTTAAATGAATAAAACAATGCATCTTTCATCCCTGGGTGTCCTTTAAGTCACTCAAACTGATATACATACAAAAAATTCACAGTTTAATTATTAACTAAACTTGTTTATGGTATGCATACTGCTTGAATAGTTGACATTTTGGGGAACTCATAACTACTTTTTAAAATATAACCTGTATCAAGGGCCTCTCCAGTGGTGCAGCGGTTGAGCGCTGGGTTGTGAAGCTGCCCGCAGCCTCTGCAGCGCCGGTTCGATCCCCAGCCCCCCAAGTGAGGGTCCCACATGGTGTGCAGACCTCTCCTGCCGCCCGCTGCTCCCCTCAGCAGTGTACTTCGGTCCTTCTGCCTGCTCTGCTCCCCGCTCTGGCTCTGGTGAATTCTCTCACCCTCCCGCACTTCTGACTGTACCCAGTGCTTGTATAAATAAATAAATTAATCATTAATAAATTAATAAATAAAATATAACCTGTATCATTATCAGACTCGGGCTTTTCGCAAGATTTGTATTTCCTTTCTGATGCTCAGATTGTGGCAGCTTGGCCTTCTTGGTGTGTTTCTTCTTTTTTTAAAAAAGATTTATTCATTTATGCATACAAAGTATAGGCCAGAGGAGTGGGGGGTGTGAGAGGATTCACCAGAGATAGAGTGGGGAGCAGAACAGGTGGATCCACTGAAACACACTGCTGAGGGGAGCAGCGGGGGAGACAGGAGAGGTCTGCTGCGCCACGTGGGTCATCCCTGGCCTGGGATGGTGCTGCTGTGGCTGCTGATAGCTTCATAGTGCTGAGACATTAACCCTTGTGCCCCCAGGACCCTCTCCTCCCTGCGTGTTCCTTCTTTTAACATTCCTTACAACCGCCCGGCAACAACCACCCCGCAGACCGAGGCCTGCTTTCAATTTCTTGTGCAAAGGGTAACGGACCCAGCTGCTCTCCGAGGAGCCCTGGTTTCTTTAAGTGGTGACTGTTATTAGGGACCAATATCTGGGCACTTGTGGTGCGAATCAGATTACCCACATGAGAACTGATAGCCCGGAGGAGTCTCTACTTCTAGTCCACTCTAGTGGGAGCCAGAAAATGAGTTCACATTGTTGGTTGCAATTTAACGCCAACCCTAAGTCCTTTAGAAATATATATTCTACTGGAGAAGCTTTTCATTTTTATCTCTCTTTTGTAACTACCAGCTTTTATCTACCCATGGTGTCTTTTTTTTTTTAAAGATAACCTTAACCTTTCATACTATATATATTTTAATTATAATAGTGAATGAATCTGTCTATGTCCTAAGTGAAAGCATATAGACTTAGCTCCTAGATGCCCCGGCCAAGGTTGTACATGTTCCGTTTGTCACTTTTGTGAGCCTGGTGTGTTTTTTTTTTATCAGCTCTCACCCTCTGGTCATTTTATAGACAACACAATTTCATTTCAACCAACTCTATTATGTTCACTAGACTTGATTCCATTTCAGAGCAACAGTTTCGGCTCTCCCCTCTTTCCTGGAGCAATTTTTGCCTTCTGACTCTCAGCTGCCTGGCACTGGAGATGGGCTTGTCATTTTGTTTCTCCTGTTATCATCAAGCCCCCTCTCAGGCTGGCTGGGTGAATGTGCTTCACGGGTCTGCTCTTTAAAGAGGCCAGGCTTTCAGATTAAATAGAATCCATATATATTTTGCAAAGTTAACTTATTTGTCACAACTTATTTTTGTAGTCAATTACTCTGTCCCTGAGCTATAGCTTCCACAGCCTATTTTTGTAAATAAGCAGATTTCCTTTTCAGAGTATTATGACAGAGAAAGGCAGAGCTGCCAATTTCCATCAGCTGGTGCCCAGAGTCTAAGCCCATCTCCCTGTCACCCCATCCCTCCTTAACTTTTTTTTTTTTAAGATTTATTTATTTATTTATTTATTTATTTATTTATTTATTTATTTATACATACATGCATACATACAAGCACTGGGTACAGTCAGAAGCGCGGGAGGGTGAGAGAATTCACCAGAGCCAGAGCGGGGAGCAGAGCAGGCAGAAGGACCGAAGTACACTGCTGAGGGGAGCAGCGGGCGTCAGGAGAGGTCTGCGCGCCATGTGAGACCCTCCTCCCATGGCCGGGGAGCAGCCGGGGATCGAACCAGCGTCTCAGAGGCCGCGGGCAGCTTCGCAACCCAGCGCTCAACCGCTGCGCCACCGGGGAGGCCCTAAACCCTTTAAGTTCTCAGCATTTTCTCACTCTGATCCAGCTCCTACTCCTCACCTCCCACCTCCATCTACTCCGCAGTGACCCCTCCCTTTATGTGGAGGACAGACCCTAAGGTGCCCCTATGATCCTGGACTCCTGGTATTCTCACCTCTGGGTGATGCCCTTCCCTTGGGTGCTTGTGCACCCACAACTTTCTTCTAATGAATAGGAAATGGCAAAGGGGATGGTGTGTCACACTGTGATAATATATGAGGAGGACTGTCTAGAGACCTTGCTGACTTGATGAATGGGGGGGGGGCGCATACTAGGAAAGCCCACTGGGCTAGCTGCTGAGGACAGCGCCCCTAGATAGCCAGCAAGAATCCAGGCCCTCAGCCACAGAGCAGCAAAGAAATGGCTTTCGCAGTCACCTGAGTGAGCAGGGACAAGGAGTCTTCCCCAGTTAAGCCTCCAGGTGGCATTCTGGCCGGTCCCTAGATTGCAGCTTGTGAGATGCTGGGCAGAGGACTCAGCTCAACCAGGCTGAAACTCACAGAAACCGGGATAAGAAACGTGTGTTGTGTGAAGCTGCTATCTTTCTGTTTGTGGTTGTTATGCAGCAATGGATAAATAAGGCGCCCACGGCGCTGCTCCTTCTGCAGCCCTCCCACGTGGCGGCTGTTTATGTTCTTCCCCACCCCAGCTTAAAAGCTGGCAGGTAGAGTTATCGGCTGTCATACTCTCTATGTCCCTTAGACCATTTTTCTGCTTCTCAGGTGCACGGCTACGCCATCCTCTTTCCTCCCGAGAGCCTCTGCCATTTACCGCCTCCCAGCCCCTCATTCTTCAGAGCTCCGAGCAGCTGTCTCTTTGTCTCTCCTCTCACCTTAGGTAAATTCAGTGTTGGTTTGGGGGAAGTTTTCAGTGGGTCAACCAGACTCTTGGTTTCTTGACTTCCTTCTGACGACCACCTCTGTTCTCTCTCAATCACCCACTTCCACAATCACAGGGC